TAAACATCTCAAAGAACAATAAAAATAATACTTGAAATAAATCAAACGAAAACTTTTGATATATAGTCTACGAGAAAAGAAAAAAAAAACACACTATACATATTCGAGAACTCTTACAAATACAGTTTGAAGGGTAGAAGGGATAGGGAAGGAACCTTTACCGAACCGAATGATAAAAAGCTAAAAAAAAAAAAAAAACAAAAAAGAAACAACACCAATAACAACGATCATAATCCAAGATCGATTTAACGAAGCAAGCGAGCAAGCAAGAATATTAAAATAAAAAAAAAAAACAAATAGACAAAAAAAAAAATAAAAAATCATCCCGACCCGTGGTCGTCAGATCGATGATGAGAAAAAGAGAGACGCTAATCACGAAGTCTTTCAACTTTACTGGCCGCTACTTACAGCTCGTACATCGATCATCAAGAAATCTTCGAAAGGGAAAAAGTTTTGGCCCCCGATCAACGTCTCCCAATACCTCCTCTCACTCTCTCACTCTCTCACTCTCTCACTCTCTCTCTCTCTCTTTCTCTCTATCACAAGAATTATTATTCACAACCTTCTACGCTTCGAGACCTAAACCAAAAAAAAAAAACAAAAAAAAAACAAAGAATAAAATAAAATAACGCAACAAATACAACAACAAAATAAAAAAATAAATAGAAAGAGAGGGCGGAGCACAGGGCACATGCATCATCGAGAGCAAATTCCGTTGCCCTCTCTTTATTTACCTCCATCGTTGACCACATGATGAACAAAGATGAACAAACACACGCATAAAGTTACACACAGAGTAACATATACGTATATAGAATTTCTTGGATCTTCACGTGGCTGCCGTCAGTCCGCTTAACTGTAGATCAATCAATATAAGCTGGTTGAAGGTTCCCTTCTCCCCCTCACCCTTCATATCCCTTCTTCTTCTTCTTCTTCTTCTTCCCTTCTCTTTTGCCCCCCCCCTGATACCTTCCCTAACCTACCTCCCCCATATCTTAAGGTGGTTCTTCTATCTTTCTCTTTCATTTCTTCTTCTCTCGTTCACATATACTACTCATGGTTATCCTCCTTCTCATCCTCCTATCCTGCCGCCGTTCTTCCCTTTCTCTAAAGGTTTTGCCCTAACGAGCTCATCGCTTGCCTTGCTTGGGCATAGCGAAAGAAAAAAGTACGAGGAAAGTGGTGTACAAAATGGACCCGTTGAGAAATGCCGTCAAGTCGAACGAGGATAACCCAAACCCACGTTCTTCTTCTTCGTCTTCTTCTTCTCTTCTTTCTGCTTCATTCTTCTATATACCTCATTTCATTCGTCAGTAGTATGAGAAAGAGAGGAGTTGAGTTCATGAGTTTATGAAGGGGGAAGAGGTAAGGGAAAAGGGTTGGATGTTGAGTTTAGTTGGTAAAAAGGGTGGGAGAATGGAGGGAGGTTTGTAYTGATGGTGGTGGTGGTGGTGCTGGTGGTGGTTGGGAGAATCCCGCGAGGGCGTTGCCATGTAAACTTTATGTATATATGTATGGTGTATGTATATATGGTTAAACGGATGAAGTCTATCTTCAGTAAAAAAAAGAAGAAAGGAAAAAAAAAAACCCTTTTCGAGATCATTTATTAAATGTTCTTCTACCAAGTTCTTCTAATTATCTTGAAAAGTACTTTATAGTTAGATAATGTTAGATTAAACAATAATATATTAAATTAAAATATATTACAAATTATATATAATAAAAAATATATAATTTAATTTATTATATAATAATAATAATAATATAATTATATAAATATATATATATATTATGTTTGAACTTATGTTGAATATAAATTAATTTCTACTCAATAATAAATTAAAATATATGATAATAAAACAATACTATTTTAATATAAGACGACATACACACTAACAAGAAAGGAAGTCACCTGTTAACATTTTTACATCTGTTTCTTTTTTTTCTTCTTATTCTTTTTCACCTGTAATACGATTCATTGTTCGTACATAAGAAGGTAAATATTTCGAAGAGTTGTCGGTCACCACCCATCCTCTTACGCCCTGCAATTTTTCAACCGCAAAGGTAATGGCAAGACACCTTTCCTATATATATATATATATATTTCCCATAATATTCCCCCATACACTTCCTGTTAAGTTTCTGTTTCTTTCTTTCTTTTTTTTTTTATTATTACTACTTCTTATATGTATTTTTTTTTTTTCATTTCATTTCATTTCTTTTCATCATCATCATCATCTTATTATTGTCATCATAGTTGTTTGATCATTTAATGATTTTAACTTTTAGAAAAAAGATAGTAATTTTCTTATCGGCACATTTGTTACTCACTTATTATTATTATTTTTATTATTATTATTATTATTATTACGATTGAAATAAAATAAACGTTTTACATTGAATAAAATACTTACGCAAATCGCATGTAAGTAGATCTCGCGTGTCTACTTTCGAGAATGCTTATTATCGATAAATGCTGATTAGATAATCATCTAATAAACTTTTTTTTTTATTTTAATTTTTTTTTTTCTATGTGTTATATTATCGAATGTTGAATGGAGGAAAAAAATTCAAACGTATTTCAATGCACATATTTTGCTAAACTATTAACCTTACTCGTAACATTACAACACACTTTCACACTAGTTCGAATTAATTATTCAAATAGTTTCTCATAGATAGAAGAATAATTTATATTTTATAATCAACTAAAGAAGAACTTTTAAATCACCCTTATATATATATTATTTCGAATAATATTATTTTCAATCACATTTTGATCAAATTGAAATAATTCTTGTAACATTTGACAATGTGTTGTGTGGTTTATGATATTTGTAAATAATTTATCATGAAAATTACGAAACAACTTTTTCCCCACCACCTCAACCCCGTGGCTAATCAAATGTAATTTGATAGTTTTTTTTACAGTTTATTTAATGTACTTTTGCATCAGATAACAATTAGATTTTTGATCGTAGAACTGTCGTCATTAGTTTTGAAAAACTGAAATAGAATTTTGATAAGATTCGTCATTAATTAACTTTCGTATTCGTGACTGTAATCGTGTGATATTTATCTGATACGTTAGATAATAAAATAAAAAAAAAAAATTGACTTAATAATCATAGTTATCAAAGAATCTAATGTGACTTGAATTATCCTAGTTAGGTGAGACACATGTATCATAGAATTGAGAAAGAAATGGGTTGGGTATAATTCACATTCTATTTACGTGATTTATTATTATTTGATTTTTATTCTGTCTCTCTCTCTCTGTTAAATTTTTCATCGATTACGTTTAAATTCATCGAATGGTATAATATTAAAATGCATTAGTGTTTCATTTACTTTTTTTTTTTTATAATTATACATTTATTATTACACTTACTCGTTTAGATAAAATACATACACGTTGAGAATAGGTTTCTTTTTATTCTTTCGTATATTATCATTTATATTCAGATTTTTATGTAATTAAAGTAATGAAATATTATGCATATATATATATATGTAAAAAGGTTATCGATTCACATGATGCAATTTATTGCATTAATAATGCATTTAATAAAAAATTAATTCATAATTGAATGTTATCGAATCAAATATTATTTAAATAACACAACTTGTTTGCTTAATATTTATTTATATATATATTATACTTTAATAAAAAAAAAAAAAAATTATAAAACAATAATAAATAATAAAAGAAAAAGTTATTGTATAAAATAAAACAAACGTAGTATAAAGTGTGAGAAAATAAAATTAAATCTAAAAAGATAGAAGTGTAAAAACTAGAAGACGATGAACGATCGAAATACGAGACGAAGCCATAAATGAAATATTATTCACCCTCGATATGATGGTGTAAGGTGGTTTTTACTCTTTCTCTTTCTTTCTTCATGGTTTCGTAAAGCTAAAGTTCCATAGAAAAAGACAGAATGATTTATACATACATATATATATATATATATAAACACACGTGCATTATCATGCAACATACACCGTGTACTTACATTTACGATTAGTTTAGAATGAAATTTATCGTATATGGTAAATCTATGAGTGAGAATTAAAAGGTTGTACCTTTTGCAAAAGGTACTATTCACCGACTAAGACGAGAAGCGTGTAAGAAAAGAATCTTAAGATAATAAAAGATCAAAACAAAATAATAATAATAATAAAATTAAAAAAAAAAAAGATTAAAAGAAAGAGAGACGTGTGCGGCTTGTCCAAGAAAACGTTTAAGGGACACGAAAAAAGGGCGAGGGGAAACTCGTATTATAAAAGCAATTAGAGCCTCTCAGATTAGATATAGCACATCGTACATAACAAATATGATAATACGAGAAAGAAAGATAGAAAGAGAAAGAGAAAGAGTTGAACTAGGCCCGAAGGGCCAGTTTCGTTCGTACCACAAGGGCTTTCGGGTTAAACGGAATCATTAATAATCGGAGCTAACTAATCTGTCCGTCGCTATGAGCTCGCTCGTTTCACTCCTGTTTTTATTACCGTGCCGCGAGTAACGTTTTATTCCTTCCTTCCTTCCTTCCTTCCTTCCTTACCTTTCCCTTTCCCTTTCCCTTTCCCTTTTCTCTTTCCCTTCCCTTTCTTTCTCTTTTATTTACTTATTTCTTTATTTTTATTTCCTTACACACAACCCCACAATATGTAGAAGAAGAATTGGTTATACGATACTCCCACTCCCACCCCCACTCCCACTCAATCCTCTTTCCCCCCACTCCGTTTTCTTTCCAAATGTATGCGACGTTTGAATAAAATGTTTCATCGATCTATCGAATGATAAAATGTTAAAATTGCATATTTAATGTTAAATAATATTTAAAAAGAAACAGACAAGTGTTTACACATTTTTGAGGAATTTTTTTCTTCTTCTTTCGTTTACTTGGTTTTTCAATTTATATAAATAATTTTTTTCTATAATAAACAAATGATATTAATATTGACTTATATCTTTTTTTTTATATCTAATTTTACAGTTGTACGAGCTCAGTGATGATCCAGGCAGACGAGAATTTTTGGACGATTTGTTTAGCTACATGCAAGCACGCGGTAAGTGTTTTGAAATTATTTCTATATAATAAGACAAATATAGTAAATTAATTGAACCTTTTAGAAAATTTCACGTGCAATCTAATCAACGACAAAAAAAAAAGAAAAGAAAAAAAATATATATTAGAATATCTTATCGCGAATTCGTAAAAAAAAAAAAAAAACCATTTTATATTCCCCCTTGTTTATCACTCGCAAATTATCGGTGTTGGTGGTGGTGGTGGCGGTGGTGTATGTTTGTGGTCAACGGTCGATGAAAGGGATAGAAAAAAAAGAAAAAAAATAGTCGTGTGAACGAGAAAGAGAGAAAAAGAGAAAACACAAACGAATCGAAACCCGCATCACTTTATAACTCTCTTGGAAACTTCCTGCACACGTGGATAGATCCTTGAACGTTCCAGCGTAACGTCGTAAACGTCCCACGTGGTTAAAAGGTCCGATAACGCGTAGCATCTGCCGTACTACACCGTACATAAGGAATAGAAAGAAAGAGAATGAGAAAGAGAATGAGAAAGAGAATGTGAGGAGTTATAGTGAGTGCGAACGAAATTAGAATGCAAGTCCGTAAGTTGGAGAAACAAGGAAAGTGTGCGCCTTGTCAGACCCGTGTTTCCGTTCCTAAACTACTCTCAACCCTACTTTCTTTATATTTTTTTATTTATTTTTTTTTTTTTGTTATTTCCTAAACTTCTTTACTTTATATTTCATTTTATTTATCTTTCAATTTTTTAATTCTATTTTATATATAAATAAATAAAAAATAAAGTAATCCTATAGGAGCTATTAAAAATATTGAATACAGGTAACCCCCTACAGGTTTTGTAGAAAATGCTTGCTGTTATGTGAAATTATATTATATAATATTTATTTAATAATTATTTAATTGTTAAATATATTAACACAAAAAATTCATATTATCTAGTGTTCTAAAAGTATTATAAAATATATTGTAGAAAGGTTTATAATTATCTTTTTATACTGTGGATGCAGAAGAGGGTTATCTGTAATTAACCTCAAAATTTCGAATAATAAAAAAGAAACAATTGAAGTAAAAGATTAGAATTAAAAGTTAAACAAATTAAAAAGAAAATAATGAAATAGTAAAGTTTAATATGTTTTCGATCGAATGAAAGATATATAAGTAAATGAAGGGAACGATACGTATGTTCAGTTTGCCCGGAAACGTCGGCCTAATTATAAACATGGCGACTCCTCCTCCATCAATCAATCCCCAGTGTTCAGTGATGCCTCAGATTCTCGTGTTTTCTTGCTTCTCGAACGAGAACGAGGAACGATGATGACGACTAAGACAACTAAGACAACTAAGACAACTAAGACGACTAAGACGACGAGTGTCTTTGAATCCAAGTAGACGACGACGACGAAGACGACGAAGACGACGACGAAGACGAGTACGACGATGATGCTATTATTGTACCTATCTCCGTTGGCAATAATTAGAGACGTTAGCACCAACGACTTTGTGCCATTCGCGTGTTTCTATAAACTACAGACTACTTGACGTCTCATAAACAGAGACCTAAACTAAATCCACAATATTTTCTAATAAAACTATTTACACCCCTTCCTTTCCTTTCCTTTCCTTTCCTTTCCTTTTCTATTAGTTCATCCTAAAACTATTTTACTATGAAAACTAACGAGATTTATGAAGACTTCAATCATGGTTTTGTTAAATTAATAATATTTTGGATTTAAATATTAAAAATATCAAATTGTACTACTTGACGTCTCATAAACAGAGACCTAAACTAAATTCACAATATTTTCTAATAAAACTATTTACACCCCTTCCTTTCCTTTCTATTAGTTCGCCCTTAAACTATTTTACTATGAAAACTAACGAGATTTATAAAGATTTCAAAAATGGTATTAACCAACTAGGTTTTGATTTTAATATTTTAATAGCAATAATTGTATAGAATTTGTTCAATCAACCCTTTAAGAGACAAGAGATATATCCTATTAATCGAATAAATACCACACACATACACGCACACGGAGAATATTTAAGGATCGTTTGTCTGAAGCAGTAATAAAAGATCGAAAGTTCTTCTTAAGCTCATAAATCCTTGCCGAACATTATACCTATATCTACATACACGTTTATCACACACCACCAATCACATTCACGACACAAATATACATATACACATACACATAGATATTCATTTCGTATCGATGTTTCTCGCGGATCTAAAGATTAAAAAACTCAACTGAAGAAATGAGAAGTTGAAAGGGGGTGTTAAAGGGGGTGTCAAGAAGAATCATGACGGGGGTTTGGGGGATAGGTGAAAAACGAGGTGGGGGGTTTAAGGGAAAAAGGTAGTAGTAGTAGTAGTAGTAGTAGAAGAAGAAGAAGGGCTAAAAAGAACTTGGTAAGTTTCACGTATACTGTCGGAGATATCCGATCCGATCCGATCTTGTGTTGATGATGATGGGTGTGTGGGTCCCACCACCCGCAGGGTCCGTTATTGTGCCGGCGTGGCACAGTGGGTATGCCTCCTCCTCCTCCTCCTCCTTTTTCACCTCTTTCTCCCTACTACACCATGGTCGTGATAATTCAACGTTAACGCAGCGCATAACGCCTTGGCACACGGGGAACCATATAAAAGACCATTCATCAAATGGTCGCGGGTATTAGTCGAGCCACCACCAATTTGTGTTTGCTATCGGCACTCTCCAAATAGCCACTTTTTCTCACACCTTCTTCTTTGATAAGTGTCTTTTAAAGTCGAATGTATTACAAATGAGAAAGAGAAAGAGAAATAGACTTAAAAACAAAAGAGAATTTGTACATGTGTGCGTGTGCATTCGATTTGTGTGTGTTCATACTTTACTAAATAGATATAATTAATTATTATATATATATATAGCAATGCAGATATTAATTTATCAATTAAATTAATGATTAATATAAAATATATCATAATTTGAATTTATCATTTAATTTTAATAAGTAATGAATTTATTTAGAAATATATTTAGTAATATAACAATTACAATTTCTATTATAAAAAAAATATATATATAAAAATAGATGGAACATTTTTGTGATTAAATTAACCCTTTGCACTCGAAGGCTCTGCTACGGGGACAATAACAAAAAATTAAAAACTGCAACAAATTGAATTCAGTTTACAACATATCAACTATGATTTTTCTTTAAAAATAGTATGATTAATAATAATTAATATTAAAATATCATAAGTTTGAAATACCATTGTGATTCTAATAAGACATGAATTTATTTAGAAAGATAATATCTTCTTAATACATATAAATTACGTGTCACGTTGTTTATCCGCAATGAACTCCTAAACTATTGAACCAATTTTAATCAAATTTTCCACACTGTGTGCAATTTCATTCAACTTAAAAGATAGGATGAGTTTATAATCTCAATTTATAATCGCAATATTATTTAATTGTTTATATTTATGTATCAGACTGATTGTGAGCCACTGCAATGCGTAGTGAGACACACAGTCCTATTATCAAATAACATTACAAATACAATAGATAGAAAATCTTTTCGATTAAATTAACATCAAATGGTATAATTCGCGAATAATATAGGTTGATAATATCACGATGAGATGATGTGTCGAAGGGTTAAAAAAGAAGCACACACACACACACACACACATTACGTTTTAGTATGAATTACATTCGCGATTGAAACTCGTTCGCGGTGTGTTAAAGATAGAGAAAAACGAAAACCTATGAAAAGAGAGAGAGAGAGAGAGAGAAAGAGAGACCTGAGGCTGTCGGAGATTTGCATATTAAATGGCTTGAGATTTATAACGGTCGGACTGGAAAGGTGCCAACGATAGCCACGATAAATAAGAAGAAACGTTTCTGCCTCCACTGCGACTTTTCGATTGGACTTTTGCTTTCAGTCGCAAAACTTCTCTTTTGTTCGTCATCCTTTTATTATAATACCCCCCTGCCCCCCTCCCCCGCCGTTCAATACTCACCCCATCAACCAAATTACTCGATAATAATCCTATTGGGTACATAAAACCGATCTAATGCATTTTATCGATCTACCTTTTTTTTTTTTTAAATTAATCATTCATATGTGTACAATACACTCATACGAGAAATGTATATTTCAATTCAATACATTCATTGGAATAATTAATAATAATATTAACGTGTGTGTGTGTGTGTATGTTAAAATGATTAGAATTGCAATATTGTACAAAGATGAGAGATTGTTTGAACGTGTGATAGGAAAATGGGGTGGTAGTGATGGTGGTCATGATTTGCATCGTCTTATGGGTTTAAGAAAAAAAAAAAAATAGAAATAGAAAAATACTTTTCCTTTTTTTTCTTTTACGCGGCAAAGCTAATGGCATTAGGTTAGCGAACACGTGTTCGGCACGAACACTTTTCTCGTTACACTCGTGAACACGTACCGCGTGCGTGCCGTCTGCGTATACAAACGGACTCTTTACATAGTATAACATATATGAGACTTATCTTCTTTCTTTCATTCTTTCTCACACACACACACATATATATATATATATACACTTACACATTTTTCTCTCATATCAATACATTAAAAAAAGAATATTTAATATTTCATTATTTTGTCCAAAATTATGAACAACTACTTGTCGATAGATTGAATAATTAATTTATGATTGAATAAAATTAGATATGAGATAGTTATCGGTGTTCAATTGTATAAGATTGTATGGAGTAGAGGGGGTGGCGGGTGAGAGAAGGGAGGGATTATGTTTCTTTTTAATATTATTCGATCATTATTAGAATTTTTTTCCTTCGTGGAATTTTCTCTTTCAACTGAATTTAATTGGTCGAGTATATTTTGTACGACGAGCACGTACCTAAATGCAAACCAATGGAAAATGGCACGACACATTGTAACTAGGTTCTTCTAAATGTTTTCCAATCGAGTTGGTTACAGATGAAAAATAAATCTCGTATAATCATATACGAAAATAGTTAAT